ACGCAAGCAGAGCTAACTGCCATTGTTATGGCGTTAAGGTTTCTTGAACGGGACACTAATGGTGCAGTGATTTGCACTTATTCAAAAGCTGCACTGCAAAGTCTAAGTAAAAATCGGACAGAAAATCTTGCAATAGTCGCTGAAATTAAGAGAGCTGTGAGAGGACTTACCAATCAGGGAAGAGCCATCAAGTTCCTGTGGATGTTGATATTGATGTTGATATGATACTGATATTCCCATGTTGGAATATGTGGGAATGAACGAGCAGATGTGCTGGCTGCTGAAGGTGCTGAAGGAGACCATATTGAATACTTCATACCCAAGACTCAACTACAAATTAGAGGTATTATCAGGCAACATCACCGTGACAAGGTAACTGAGGAAAGAAGGATAGAAGCACAAACCAGTGAATCTGTACGATGGTACAACATGGTTGCAGCTGGCAATCCCAATCATTATGGACGAAGAGGAGGAGGACGAGGGAGAGAATCAGTAATAGCGAGAATCCGTCTTGGATACAAATATCCATGGAGATTCGGAATGGAAAAATCAGTTGATCACCGGAGTTGCAGAATCTGTGGTGAGAGTGACGGACACCGCCTTGACCACTATCTACGTGAATGTAAACACCTGAGAGAAATTAGAAATATGTTTAAAATAATAAACCCCCACATTGTTTGAGTTAAGAAAACACTATTTGTCAAATATTAATACTTCTCTTAAAAGATTCTCCTATTTTATACCCCGCAAGATAACGTAAGCTTTTAAGGGTTGACAAATGTTAATCTTCTTGTTTGAAGAGCTGTTCACTTGAGACAATTAAGCAAGTCCCAGCTGTGTCTGGGTACAAGTGACAGGATGAACAACCCAGCGGGTTTTCTTCCTATTGGGGAGTGTTGTGCATGCTGCTATGGCGGTGTGTCCACTCACAAGATGAGTGGCGCTGCCCAATACTGTCACTATGGCGGTGTGTCCACTCACAGGATAAGTGGCGCTGCCCAATACTGTCACTATGGCGGTGTGTCCACTCACAGGATGAGTGGTGCTGCCCAATACTGTCACTATGGCGGTGTGTCCACTCACTGGATGAGTGGTGCTGCCCAATACTGTCACTATGGCGGTGTGTCCACTCACAGGATGAGTGGTGCTGCCCAATACTGTCACTATGGCGGTGTGTCCACTCACAGGATGAGTGGTGCTGCCCAATACTGTCACTATGGCGGTGTGTCCATTCACAGGATGAGTGGCGCTGCCCAATACTGTCACTATGGCGGTGTGTCCACTCACAGGATGAGTGGCGCTGCCCAATACTGTCACTATGGCGGTGTGTCCACTCACAGGATGAGTGGCGCTGCCCAATACTGTCACTATGGTGGTGTGTCCACTCACAGGATGAGTGGCGCTGCCCAATACTGTCACTATGGCGGTGTGTCCACTCACAGGATGAGTGGCGCTGCCCAATACTGTCACTATGGCGGTGTGTCCACTCACAGGATGAGTGGCGCTGCCCAATACTGTCACTATGGCGGTGTGTCCACTCACAGGATGAGTGGCGCTGCCCAATACTGTCACTATGGCGGTGTGTCCACTCACAGGATGAGTGGCGCTGCCCAATACTGTCACTATGGCGGTGTGTCCACTCACAGGATGAGTGGCGCTGCCCAATAAACTCGCCCCTCGGGGCAAAATTAAAAAAAAAAATAAAAAAGAAGAAGGAACGAGTGCGAGGATCGACACCCAATACACGCCTAGAACATTTTCTCCATTCACAGATAAGCTTACCACAGTCATCATGTTGCAGGTCCTATAGTCCACAGCCAAACGAGCTGAGATATTGACTGTTAGATAATTTTTCTTTCTGCACTTGATTTAATTCTTAGTAACAGTTGATGATTGGTTCAACATAGGTGGATATACATAAGAGATGCTGTATAGATCGTCATTCATCCCTATGTATCAAAATGACCAAACTCCCTAATGAGTTCATGATGGTTATATGTAAAACTTGGACTGGCTTCAGTAGGAACTTCCATTAGTTGTATTACTTATGCCATGTCGTGGTCCAGGTGCGCAGCTTGGGTGTACCCAAGTCGAGGGTTCAAATCCTCTCCACTGCACCATTGATTTTTCACATTGATAATTCACGTTAGTGTGAGTTCCTTGTATAAATAATAATTTTAAAGGAGGTTCAAGGATACGAACAAACCTCTGTATCTGTGGGAACCGACCTGTGAGATTTATATTTATTTAATTTATATGAATTTATATTTACGTTAATTTATATACTTCGATAGCAATTTGTATAATGATAAGTGGACTGTATTTCTGCAATAATCTCTTAATCTCACAAATCGATCCTCTACACATTAGGGGGGTTTATATTTATATGTATGCAGCCAATCAAACTACAGAATTAACTACATACATTGAAGAGGTTCCTTATCTTATAGTACAGCAGGCTAGTCCACCAGGTATAACTAGGGTGTAGACACCAAATTATCCTCTTTGAGGTAGCTTCCATCACCCAGTAACTGATGCACAAAGTCTTCCTCGTCTTGACCTGTCAAAAGGGCGCTAGCTGTGAAGCCAGGTTCTATATATGACAAGTTATATCAGAGAAAACACTATACATGGAACAATAAAGACCTGGCTTAATTACCTTTAGTATGAGGCGATTTCATGATCTAACCGGTTCACCCTATATCCTGACATTAATGGCCACTAATGATAGATAAACGGGTTTCGGAAAGACACTTAACTTGAATTTGTAGACAGCGTGTGATAATGGTGCACCTTTGGTTTCCATAACACTTCGTCCAAGTAAAATTAACAGGAGCCGAATTTGCTCCCGTGTGAGCCTCTGGTCTAGTATCAACAACAGCTGCCCTCCTTCCTCCCTGACGCCTGGCTTACATTGTCCACATGACAGAAAGTGATAGAAGGGTCACATTTACTCTACTTTAATATTGATAATTAAGTTAATTTATATGAGATGTTTTTATGATGGTAAAGTCCAAAGACTAATGTATTTAAGAATAATTCCCACCATAATAGGTGGTGAATTATAATAGTGTGTGGTGATGATATCCCGTTTTCTTTAGACGGTAATTCCACTACAAGTTTCGTTTTCTATGGTTAACTTGTTTATACAACACAGCTATTATCTGTATGATATATTAAATGGTGTCGGATTTTCCGACAGTATCACTGAAGCCTTCCGGTGCACTTCTCACTGTCGCAAAGTCACCCAGGGAGGAGGTTTAACCCAGCTGATGTGATGAGAGGAGGGGGTTGGGGAGGTGAGAGGGGCGGCTGGGTGGAGGTTGCTGGTGGTTAGTTGAGAGGGGCGGTTGGGTGAGGGGTTGCTGGTGGTTGGTTGCGTGTGAGCATGGCCTGCACTCCGGGGCCTGCACTCCCGCATTTGTTTGCACTCATCGCTACACATGCGCGGGGAGGGTATTGGGGTGTTTTGATGGTCAATTGTTAATGTCATGCTAGATGGTAATGCTGTGTCATGTCAGGTGCCAGGAATATTGCACGGCCTCCAACCTTATCAATTGCAGCATATTCCAGTGTTGGATTGGTTACTGGCAGAGCAGCATCATGACTATTGGCCGATTATAGAGTCTCACCGGAGACAGAAAGCTCCGGGAAGGTGGCCACACGTGCTGGACTTGTGACCTCCGGGAAGGTGGCCACACGTGCTGGACTTGTGACCTCCGGGAAGGTGGCCACACGTGCTGGACTTGTGTGCTCCGGGAAGGTGGCCACACCTGCTGGACTTGTGACCTCCGGGAAGGTGGCCACACGTGCTGGACTTGTGTGCTCCGGGAAGGTGGCCACACGAGCTGGACTTGTGTGCTCCGGGAAGGTGGCCACACGTGCTGGACTTGTGACCTCCGGGAAGGTGGCCACACGCGCTGGACTTGTTCCGGGCATCCACAGCAGCGTCTGGTTACCGAGAACCGGACTTTCAAGGACAGTAATCGTGCTCTTCTAATCTTGTGTTACTTATTACCCTCTGTCTTATTGTCTTGAGTTCTTCATTATTCTCTCCTGATGAAGATGTGATGTGCAATCTAAGAAGGAGGTCCCCCCCCCCCAAGGTGGACGTTCCGACACTCCCCAGGAGGCATCCCCCACAACAGGTCCCTAACTCCTGGGTACCTATTTACTGGTGGGTGAACAGAGGCATTAGTTATAAGAAAACGTGCTTAGCAATTTCTTTTTCGTCCTGGAATCGAACCCTGGTTTCCCGATTGTGCGTTGAGAACTAAGCCAACTGATACGGTAAATACTGTATTTGTTATGTGACGTAATATAAAAGCAAATAAATGTTTTTCTTGTATGATTTCGAGTATAAAGGAGGAAATTTGGTTTCCATGATAATAGGAAAATATCTGCCTAACCGGGAAGACGCCAGTGTATCTTGAGGTTATCTTGAGATGATTTCGGGGCTTTTTAGTGTCCCCGCGGCCCGGTCCTCGACCAGGCCTCCACCCCCAGGAAGCAGCCCGTGACAGCTGACTAACTCCCAGGTACCTATTTACTGCTAGGTAACAGGAGCATTCAGGGTGAAAGAAACTTTGCCCATTTGTTTCTGCCTCGTGCGGGAATCGAACCCGCGCCACAGAATTACGAGTCCTGCGCGCTATCCACCAGGCTACAAGGCCCGTTGTGTACCCCATAACCAATAAAAAACAAGCCTCTCTCGAGACTGACCAATCAGAATCAAGTATGTAACCAGACTCTGGCTCCCAACCAATAAGAACACACTAGGAAAATATTATGCTGAGGTAATGTTGTCTTGCTTATGTGGTTGAATATATTTCATTTTGTTTCGTGTAACAACGCCAAATATCAGTGCTTCGAATATGATTTATAATGTTCCTTTGACTCAATTGGCATTTTAATTTCCATCAACATACCGAACAATATGGTTTTGACCACTGTACTGTTCAATGTACAGTGTACAATGTACTGTACAATGTGTACTGTTCTCACATATGTGTACTCAGTTCTGCATTTTTGTGTGAATCAGCTCCGTTTCTTGCTTGTGCTTGGAGACCATCTGTGGTGCAGTGTAAAGATGTTAGTAACCATAGTTGTGGTGCAGTGGTATCACTGGCCCCTTGAGGTGCATCACTGGCCCCTTGAGGTGTATCACTGGCCCCTTGAGGTGTATCACTGGCCCCTTGAGGTGCATCACTGGCCCCTTGAGGTGTATCACTGGCCCCTTGAGGTGCATCACTGGCCCCTTGAGGTGCATCACTGGCCCCTTGAGGTGTATCACTGGCCCCTTGAGGTGCATCACTGGCCCCTTGAGGTGTATCACTGGCCCCTTGAGGTGTATCACTGCCCCCTTGAGGTGTATCACTGCCCCCTTGAGGTGTATCACTGCCCCCTTGAGGTGTATCACTGGCCCCTTGAGGTGTATCACTGGCCCCTTGAGGTGCATCATTGGCCCCTTGAGGTGCATCACTGGCCCCTTGAGGTGCATCACTGGCCCCTTGAGGTGTATCACTGGCCCCTTGAGGTGCATCACTGGCCCCTTGAGGTGTATCACTGGCCCCTTGAGGTGTATCACTGGCCCCTTGAGGTGTAACACTGGCCCCTTGAGGTGTATCACTGGCCCCTTGAGGTGTATCACTGGCCCCTTGAGGTGTATCACTGGCCCCTTGACGTGTATCACTGGCCCCTTGACGTGTATCACTGGCCCCTTGACGTGTATCACTAGCCCCTTGAGGTGTTTGCCTCTACCTCTTCAGAATTCAGGGCGTGTCGTTCACTGCTCACTCTGGCACACAAGGTTCCCTCTGCAAGTTCTCCGGTTCATATGAATGTTCAGTTTGCTTGTGTTATCCGTCGCTCTCCGGCTACACCTTTCCTCCTGAATTTTTGTTCTCGTTGTTGTTCTTATCAATGTTCCACAGCGTCTTGTAAGTTTAGGTCAAGTCGTTTCTAAGTCGTGATTTCTCCCGAGATGTGTTGCTTTACTCTCGTGCTCTGCCCTCATAGCTCAACACCTGTAGTTAAGGGTCTAGACTCGAGGCAAATTTAAAGATTCGGTCAAGTTTTTGGTATGTTTTCCATTGTTGGGGTCAGGAAGCCTGTAAGGCTATCGAGGTTCCACTTTGCAACCCACAACAGGCACCTAACTCTAGTGCACTTATTTACTGTTAGGTGAACAGAGGGATCAGCTGTAAAGAAATGAAACTTAACCAGTTGGCCTGGTAATCGGTTTTGGGGCGAATTGGTTGTGAAGCTTCTGCGTTAACCACTACTCTTAATAAGGAGAGAGAGATCAATACTAGCGCTGTATTTTCTAACACTTTCTGCCTGAAACACTGTACGTGCTAGTGGCTTTACAAGAATGTAGAAACAAATGCTATGTACTTTCATAAACCCAATGTACCTTCTTGTATATATAAATAAATAAATAAATAACAACACTAGCCGAATATATGGGGTGTAAAATATCTGCAAGTCTTCCCGATGTGTGTTCTCACGCTCACCAGCTTTGTACATGAAGGTGAAGTTGTCGGTTTTAGGTGTGTCTCAGGTGGTAGTTTTAGTGCGGTATCTTCCCTCAAAACCCTCTCTTTTTTAATGTTTAACAAGTACTGGTAATCATCACCTTGTCTTCAATCCATTTAGCAATGTATTGTATTTTTACGATTACAAACAATCTTTTAAAATTTTATTTATTTTCAACTTTTGTGTGTGTATGTAATTCATACAACACATAGTAGTAGGCATCCATCAGTGTCAGGAGACTATGGAGTTGCACTCTGGCACTTTGGAGTGGCCTCTCCAGGGCGCAAAGCCAGGGTAGCTTGATATGGGGGAGAGGCAGCAGAAGAGGGACCCCATGCAGCAGGTCCTCCCATTCCACGGCGCCAAAAGTCTCCAATGGAAAGGCAAACGGCAATACGATTGGTTCCAACGCCGTCGCAGGAACTGTCAGAACGAGGTTGAAGGCAACAACGAGCTGCTCTAGGTGCTCCACCTCGAAGTTGGTAAAAGAAGGCACATGAACTCCAACCCTTAAGACCGCCGTGGTCGGGGCCGGAGAAGAACCGTCCCAACAAGGGCAAGAACGACCCCAGCCTCCTGAAGCAGAGCCTGGGGGGCCGCACGAGCCCCAGGAGGTGGACGTCCGGGTCCCGCAACTACGGGTTCCTGACAGATCGTGACAGCCCTCTTTCACCCGAGGACGGCTTCCTTCATGACCCAGCAGAAGGAAGAGTAATAATTATTTATTTACAACAATTGTTATTATAGTTATTACAACACATATGAATTCATGATTCATATGTACTCACCTAGTTGTAATCACCTAGCTGTGCTTGCGGGGGTTGAGCTTTGGCTCTTTGATCCCGCCTCTCAACTGTCAAACAACTGATGTACAGATTTTGGAGCCTATTGAGCTCTGTCAAATCTACATTTGAAACTGTGTATGGAGTCTGCCTCAACCACATCACTGCCTAATTCATTCCTTTTGTTAACTATTCTGACACTGAAAAAAATCTTTCTAATGTCTCTGTGGCTCATTTGGGTACTATGTTTCCACCTGTGTTCCCTTGTTCGTGTCCCACCCGTGCTAAATAGTTTGTCTTTGTCCACCTTGTCAATTCCCCTGAGAATTTTGTAGGTAGTGATCATGTCTCCTCCTTACTATTCTGTTTTCCAGGGACGTGAGGTTTAGCTCCCGCAGCCTTTCCTCGTAGCTCATACCTCTCAGTTCCGGGACGAGCCTGGTGGCATACCTCAGAATCTTCTCTAACTTTGTTTTGTGTTTAACTAGGTATGGACTCCTGGCTTGAGCTGCATGCTCCAGGATTGGTCTGACATAAGCATACAATGTCCTTAACGATTCCTTACACGAGTTTATAAAGGCAGTTCTTATGTTGGCCAATCTAGCATATGCCGCTGATGATATCCTTTTGATGTGGGCCTCTCGGGACAGGTTCGGTGTGATATCAACCCCCAGATCTTTCTCTCTATTTGACTCTTGCAGGCTTTGTGTGTGTGCTCATCTATTTGCTCCTGCAGGACAAAAGGTTTAGCTCTTGAACCCCGTTTTTATAGCCGCTGGTTGTCTAATACAATGACTCCTGGCCTATTTCTCTATCAGACCTGCTTTTAAAGTTATGAATGGAGTTAGCCTCTAACCGGCTTCTTTAGGTCATTTCAATTACTCACTACCCTCACACTAAAAGAAAACTGTCTAACATCCCTATGACACATCTGAGTCTCAAGCTTCCGTCCGTGCTCCCTTGTTCCACTGTTATTCATTGTAAACATATCCTCTGTTTCCATCCTGTCAATTCCTCTTAGTACGCCTGTTTTATGTCCCCCCCTTGTCCCTCCTTTCTAACGTCGTCAGGTTTAGTACCTTCAGTCTGTCTTCGTACCTCATTCCTCGCAGCTCTGGGACGAGTCTCCTTGCAATCTTCTGCGAATTTTCGAGCTTCCTTGTGTGTTTTTTAATATGGGGGCTTCACGATGGGGGCGGTATACTCTAAGACTGGCCTCACATAGGCGATATACAGTGATCTAAAAGCCTCCTTATTCAAGTTCCTGAAGGCTGTTCTGACTTTTGCCAGAGTAGAGTATGCGGCTGATGTTATTTTAATTATATTAGCCTCTGGAGTTAGGTTTGGTGTTATATCCACTCAAAGGTCTCTTTCTCTGGTCATTATAGTGAGATAGTTTCCCTTCATCGTGTATTGGCCTTTCGGTCTCCTGGCTCCTGATTCCATTTCCTTTTTCTTACACTTGCTGGTATTGAACTCTAGCAACCATTTCTAGAATCAGCTTTGCAACCTGTTCAAGTCATCCTGGAGAATCTTACAATCCTCATCTGTCTCAACCCTCCTCATTAGTTTTGCATCATCTACAAACACTGACATAAAAGACTCGACTCCTGCAGTCAAGTCATTTACATAAATGAGGAATAGTATGGGACCCAGCACCGATCCTTGAGGCACCCCGCTTGTTATTCTACGGCAGTACGACTCCTCGCCCCTCACTGTGACTCTCTGACACCTGTCTGTCAGGTAATTCCTTACCCATGATTGTGCGTTTCCGTCTACTCCCGCCTGCCTCTCAAGTTCATATAGTACCCTTCTGTGTGGTACAATATCAAAGACTTTGTGACAGTCCAGAAATTTGCAATCTGCCCATCTTTCTCTGTCTTGCCTTATTTTCGTCATCTTATCATAAAACTCCAGGAGGTTCGTCAGGCATGATTTCTCCTACTCCAACTCTGTGTTGCTGTTTACTTACAAACCTATTTCTTTCTAGGTGTGCATCTAGTCTTACCCTTATAATTTTTTCAAGTACTTTGCAAGGGATACTTCTGAGCGACACTTATCTGAAGTTAAGTGTCTCTTCTCTATCTCCTTTCTTGTAGATTGGCACCACATTTCCCTTCTTCCAGCAGCTTGCCAACTTCCCTTATGTAAGTGACTCATTATAGATTAGTGCTAGAGGTATGCTGAGGGCCTGTGCTGCTTCTTTTAACATCCATGGTGATACTCTCTCTGGCCCAATAATTTCAGTCACATCTAATGATGTCAGTTGTATCCTTACTTCCTCTGCTGTCACCTCAATATTTACTTACAGCAGCAGAGGAAGTAAGAGTACAACTGGCATCATTAGATATGACTAAAACTATTGGGCCAGACAAAGTATCACTGTGGATGTTAAAAGAAGCAGCACAGGCCCTACACACACCTTGCCTAGCCCGGAACACCTCAAGTAACTATACACACACTGTGTCTAGCCTGGAGCACCACCAAGTAACTATACACACACTGTGTCTAGCCTGGAGCACCACCAAGTAACTATACACACACTGTGTCTAGCCTGGAGCATCACCAAGTAACTATACACACACTGTGTCTAGCCTGGAGCACCACCAAGTAACTATACACACTCTGTGTCTAGCCTGGAGCATCACCAAGTAACTATACACACACTGTGTCTAGCCTGGAGCACCACCAAGTAACTATACACACACTGTGTCTAGCCTGGAGCATCACCAAGTAACTATACACTCACTGTGTCTAGCCTGGAGCACCACCAAGTAACTATACACACACTGTGTCTAGCCTGGAGCATCACCAAGTAACTATACACACACTGTGTCTAGCCTGGAGCACCACCAAGTAACTATACACTCACTGTGTCTAGCCTGGAGCATCACCAAGTAACTATACACACTCTGTGTCTAGCCTGGAGCACCACCAAGTAACTATACACTCACTGTGTCTAGCCTGGAGCACCACCAAGTAACTATACACACACTGTATCTAGCCTGGAACATCACCTTGTAACTATACACACACTGTGTCTAGCCTGGAGCACCACCAAGTAACTATACACTCACTGTGTCTAGCCTGGAGCATCACCAAGTAACTATACACACTCTGTGTCTAGCCTGGAGCACCACCAAGTAACTATACACTCACTGTGTCTAGCCTGGAGCACCACCAAGTAACTATACACTCACTGTGTCTAGCCTGGAGCACCACCAAGTAACTATACACACACTGTGTCTAGCCTGGAGCATCACCAAGTAACTATACACTCACTGTGTCTAGCCTGGAGCATCACCAAGTAACTATACACACTCTGTGTCTAGCCTGGAGCATCACCAAGTAACTATACACTCACTGTGTCTAGCCTGGAGCATCACCAAGTAACTATACACACTCTGTGTCTAGCCTAACA